TATATTATATATATGTATTGTTATATATTATATATATATAGATATATTTTTATGTGCGTGCATTTATCTCTTCCAGTATAAGACATCACGTAGCTCACATATATATATATATATATATATATGTGTACATGTATATGTATAGAGGGTGGTCCAAAATTCGTAGTACAAATGAGGTCAGGGGAAATATCATGGCTCAAAATAAAGACGAAAATCAAGAACGACGAAATAACGTGGGTGGATTTAATTTGGTAGAAGAAAAAAAAAATAAATTCATTTGTAAACAGCCGTACGTAAATAAACGTGTGTGTACGTAATTAATAATTGGTTCATTACAAATTCTACGAAGCAGCTGTATCGGACTGTTTTCATGAATGAGATATTAGGTATCAGGTATCTTCGATTAATTCGTTGAGATTTTCTATAAAATCTAATCTTGGTTGGTTAGGAAAAAGCACTTATATGTGTATCAGAAGATTTTCCACTCATCTTCTTTTATCTATTTTGTGAAAAGGGACTGAGTAGAAAAGGAGCTTTCGGGGATTTTATGGACGACGACGACGACGACGACGACGACGAGTTTCAACCGTCTACGAATATCGATGAGCTGCCAGCCCACCGTTGTTGGTCCAGCATTAATGCACTACGATCCTCTCTACCTACTGAGTTGGGTGCTACTGGGTACTGGGTATTGGGTACTGGTGACGGTGAAGTTCGTTTTAAAAGCTGCCAAGAATCCTGCCTCGTTTTGTCGCTCGTTTCCCTCTTTTCGCTTAGTTAGCGTTTCGACGATATTTCTTTTTGAAAATAGAGAAAACTACTGCTACTAGACTTGATTTTATTTATTTTTCTTTTTCCTTTAGCCATTTCAACCCTGCCCACCGTAGCCATATCAAGATTCGAGTCGTATAAATTAAAGGGAAAAAAGAAAATCATTTGAAAATACTCAGCAAGTGGAAAATATAATGAAAGTTCCTTTAGAACTTTTTTTTTTAAATTAAAATTGCCTTAAACCTATAATATATTGATTTAATTTTGTTGTTGTTCTGAAAAAGAAGATAAGATAAAAAAGAAAAAAGATGATTATAAGATAAGATGAGTGATTAATTATTCTTTAATGGAGCTGTACTTACAGACCGATCCATCAGAAGGTGTAAAAATGCAAAGAGCTGTTTGACGTTGACGCTTTTTCTTCTTTCCAAAGGTAGAAAAAAAAAGTATTATCTTTACAGGTTATCGGGTTATCGTTCAAGGGTGATCCTACGAAAGGGTGAACAGTAATTCTTTCACCCTCTTCTTATGCCACTTTCACCCTCTTTTATTCTTTTACTTCATTCGTTTCACTCTAACTCGCAATTGCGATGGGACTTGCTTGCTATCTTCGAGCAGTATAGTATTATCTTTTATATTTCATTCGTTTGACCAATCCCATTATCTTCTTTTTCACCACCATCACCACCATTACCCAGCATCACCACCATCACCACCATTACCCAGCATCACCACCTACGCTCATCAATCCACCACCTATCATCCCTCTTCGTAAGATATGGATTTCATTTTCTACGAGAATTAAGAGAAATCGCGTTAGAACTCCTCGTACTTATTACTACTACTACTACTACTACTAATACTAATACTATTATATTATTACTATTACTATTATTATTACTTAGGTAGGTGGGATTTAATTTCGAATCAAAATTAGGTTAAACGCGCCGGCCCGTAGATTTCCACGCGAACCTTACTCCCGGCCCACTTCAGCTTGGATTTTTCGTTAATTGCCTTTTTTTTTTCTTTTTTTCTTTTTATAATTCTAGGGAGATTTTCTTCTTTTTTTTTTTTTCTTTTTTTTTCTTTTTTTTTATCTCTTTCCACTTTCATTTCTACATATATTTATTTTTTTTGTTCGTTTGTGGTTTTTTTTCCTTCTCAATTCCCCTTTTTCCCAATTCTCCTACACTTCGTCGTTTTTTTTCTGTTCTTTTTTTTCTACTTGTTTTTATAATTCCTTTTTTCGTTTATTTCTTCTAGCGTTTGGTTGGTTTTTGTATGGTTTCTTTTTTTGTTCGTGCAATTTATTGAACCATGCCTCGTCGTTATAATCGAATGGGTTAATCATCAAAAGTTTTCTCTTTCGATTTGAATTCAACCATTTCAACGATTCTAACGAGAAGTTTTCATTTCGATTATTTCTTTCGTTTATTATCACCTGTTTTTCTTTTTTTTTTACGTTTTAATAATCGATTTTATCGTAGCTTTCTTTGGTTTTTATCTTTCTCTCTTCTGTTCCCTTTTTTTTCCGATCTTTCCTATTGACCTATTGTAGGGAATAATTTTTCAGAAAAGGTTTACACACATCGTGTAGGTAATAGAGTATACGTTCCTTATCTCATTTGTACTCGTCAAAAGGTGAGAAATATGATAAGGAAAATTTTGGAAAATGATAATATTTCAAGAAAAAAAAAAAACTATACCCTATTCCTACTTTTCTTTTTTTCCTATAAGGAGCAAAAAGATTCCACGTTGCATGTGTTATGAGGTTTTGGAAGTAACGTCGAACGGATGATAAACGACGCTTCTTGGAAAATTTTATCTTCGTCGTTAGATTTGAAGTATTTAGAAGAATTTCGATCAACCAAAAGAAAGAAAGAGAGAGAAAGATAGATAGATAGATGGGATTATGAAAAATGAACACGTTGGACAAGAAATGGTTTTCTGGAAAAATGTCGAACAAGTTGAACACGTAGTTTCTTTCGTAAGAAATTCTTTCGATTCGTCATTTGAAAATAAATAATAAATCAATTTCCTTATACATTTGTAAACAAGGTGTTCTATTTCTCGATGATCAACAGGTCATTTGATCAAAAAAGAAAACAAAAATCATTCGAATTAAATCGATTAACACCGATTAACCACACACACACTTTTAATTTGACGATCGTACTGAGAAACATTAAGATCGGACGGCTATAACCGTCATCAGTAGCAACGTGTTAAAAAATGTGATTTATTATTATTATTATTATTAATTGGCATTAAAAACTCGAAAGTTCATTGCTGCAAATACGCAAATCTCGTCACTGTTCTCATCCCTGAGCGATCCTCGTAGCCCATTCTCCTCCCATCTACCTCCTCCCATCTACCTCCTCCCATCTACGTCTCGGTCTACCCAGTGGTCTTTTCCCATTCGGTATACCCATCAGTATTTTATGCACCCTTTGATCTACCCCCATGCACGTCAAGTGACTTACCCATCTTAATCGGCGTGATTTGACGACGTTAATAATGTCCAGTTTTGTTGTACACTCAATGTACTTCCACGTTATGGGGTTTTCTCCATTCACCCAATTCCTCATCGCATTTTGCATCGAACAACTTTATTTTCTCAAACCCATAATTTCTTGTCATCCCGTAACGTAAGTTGACCACGTTTCATTATCATAAAGGACTACCGGTAGGATGATTGTCCTGTGTATTCTGATTTTCAAGCACCTAGATAGCAAACCACGGAGCTGAGTAATTGATTGACATTACGTAAATTGATTCTTTTCTGAAATTTCTCGTTTATTTCGTGAAGTGTTTTGATAGAAAAGAAAAAAAGAAAAATAAAGAAAAATGAAACATAAGTATAAAATCGTATTAAATAACTTAACCACACCCCCCCAAGTAAAGTGTCCCTGCCAAATCTAATGCATCTATGACAGTTAGGAGGCGTGACGACGGCGTGTCTAAGACGATTTTCCTTACTCCCAATTGGACGGAGTGTATTCAAAAATAGTAACATTGGGTGTGACCAACACACACACACACACATATATATAAATGTACGCATGCATATGAACACGCGTTTAATTTCATTGTATGTTTAACCAACAACAACGATACACATACATTCGTATTTGTAAGAGATAGATATATATATATATATAAGTTGGTATGTGATACGCACGCTGTGCCGAAAGCTAAGAGAATATGTGAGGAGAGAAAGAGAGAGAGAAATATAAACGCACACGAAGACAAAACCATGTGGCCTGGCGGAGACACTAAAGTGCTTGAAAATGCTTGAAGGCTTCACTCCGATCTCCGACTCCAAAGATTTCGGGTGTTTGTGTTGTGTCTTTTCAAAAGATCGGACAATATCGTATCGATAAACATTAAACAATTAATAACAAATAAAATGGTGAACAAGAAGTGATTTTTTTCTTTTTTCTTTTTTGCATTATATTAGTTCATTCGTTTGATAACGCGTTGTATAATAAAGTGACGATTCCATGTACAAATCCAATATATATATATATATATATGTATATGTATGTGTAAGTAACGTGATGCTCTTTTTATCATCGATATCGATACGAAATTAAATGAAAAATACAACACGTTGTTAAAGTATTTCTTCATGCACGTAAAATTCATTTTAACTCGAGGATCATTTGTGGGTGATTAGAACAAAACAAAAATTGTTCTATGGGTGTACTATAAAAATATATATATGAAAAGTTTTACACGAAGTTATGAATGAAATACAGTGAATGAGTGAGAAAACAAAAAGTGATATATCAGAACACAATTTTATAAAGAAGAAAGAATAATATTGATAAACTTTTGATAAGTTTCTAATTTTTTTTTTTTTTTTTCAATTATGAGTAAGTTTTGAATGATCATAGAAAAGAAGAAGAAGAAGAAGAAGAAAATAACTTTTATTTAGATTTATAGAAATATTAATAATAAATAGTTAAAAGACGTCTCGTGTGTGTTTGTGTTTATAATAAATTTAGAATAATAATCATTGGATACTTTGTAATCAAGTTGGACTTGAAATGATGACCCTCGTAACCGATACCGTTCCGTACACGTACGACACCGTTACAAGCAGGTCGAGTTACGAGACATATCGACATCATCATTTGCATCATCTGCATCATCATCATCATCATCATCGTCATAGACACATCTATGCTTCAACGGATAACGAATATCTTTCGAGTTACGTTAGCAAAAGAGAAACGGAGGAACGACAGATGAGAAACGTAAATGCCGATAACAGTTTGGCGTCGGTCAGCACTAATCATTTTCGTCATGAAAATGTCAGGTGAGAATGAGAATTCAATTTGGTTAGGGGATAGGGAAAACGATGGAATAATAATAAGATCCAATTTTTTAAAATTCAATTCTGTTGAATGAACAATAAAAATGACAAATGATCAAAATCTATATATGCAATTAAGATAATAAAAGTAAATGGGTGTTCACGTAATTCGAAATACAGGTAGATAATTTTGGTGTTAATGGATTAATGTCAAAGACCGATATGACTCTTGAGACACGAGATGATAACGTGACGTAGAATAAGGAAGCTTGGCTTACAACGATTCTGTGTCAAGTGCATGACGAAAAAGTTAGCGTGATTTCATCTAATTGCACGAATTACGAATGTACGAGTTTTACCTTCTGTTTAAAGGAAATAATGGGATAAAACAAAAACAAACAAACAAACAAAAATAGATTAAACTTTTAACTTTTGTTATTGGATTATACAGGACCAATGTAACCGTTGTGATAATGTAATATATTATTTTGTTCTTTATTTCATTTAATTAAAAAAAAAAAAAACAACAACATGTGTGCAGATCACACGTGTTAGAAGTGAAAGCTTCAAAAAAAAACTAAGGTTTCGAGAAAATTAGACGAATGCAGAATATCAGGTGTAGGATTAATTGTAGGATTTATTTTGTTATAATATTATTATTATAATATTATAACATTGTCTCTTCTTATTTAGTATCTTGACCGTTTCATAGACGCCCGTTGCTCTGTTACACCGCCGCCGTCTACCGCTTCGTTACATTTTTTCAAATCACACCCATTCTAAAGAAGTTTTCACTTGAAAAATAAAAAAAAATAAAAAAATAAAATAATATATGAAATTATATAAAAAGTGTTATTTGAAAAAATGATATCTCGTTTGATTATTCCACGAAACGAGTTATATCGTTCGCGCAATTTTATTTCAAAGAAGTTTGACTCGCAGTTTGAAAAGATAAAAAGAGAGAGAAAGAGAGACAGAGAGAGAGAGAGAGAGAGAGAGAGAGAGAGAGAGAGAGTCCCGGCAGGGTGATCTATCACTTTCTCTCGGTTAGAATCGTACGAGTGA